CCACGCTTTTGTAGGAAGAGCCGCGGCGGAGAACCGCATCGGCGTTTTTGCAATCGCGGTAAACCAGAAAGGGCAACGGTAAAACTGAAATAAAAAAATCGACGAGCGTTTGTGGATTTATTTCTTTTTTCACTCGAGTTTGCGGCGGCGGCGGCGGCGGGGGGGGGGGTGACTCAGATGTGGCTTTTTTGTATTTCCACGACCGGAACCGGCCGATTAGGCTTGGGGTAAATGAAAGTTGGGGAGTGGTGGCGCAGCGGTGAGGAGCCGTTGCCACGTGAACCCGGCGGTCGGTCTCCCGAAAAGAACACCGCGCCATGGACAAATGCCGTTATAATATACGAGCTGTACGACCCGGCTTCGCCCCGGGACTTGGATTCACCACGCCCGGCCGCCTTTGTCTCCCCAGTGACGATGTTCACACACACACCGCACCAGTTACTAATTTGAGGCCGAGTCGACCTAGGGGAGGCCCAGGACCGGTGCAAATAATCGTCGCTGGTGTTGGCCGTGAGCGGGAATCGAAGCCGGGTCGCCGGGTTCGTAGCGCAGCGTAGCGCTAACCGCTACACCACCGCTCCCCACGTTTACACACGGACACACACACACACACACGGGCAGATCCAACTCATTCATGCTCCCAATCGTAGCTGGGAGGCGTTAAATCAACTCAGGGGAGAGGAAGGGTGGACGGGGTGATTTTACAACAACAGTAAAAAAAAAGTAGCATTCATCCGGAGACCCGGTTACAGTTCCACACAAATATTCGGGCACGCACACACACGCATACGCGCACACACACCCACAACCCCACGGGGGCCATTCTCTATTATTTTTTTTTGTTACCAGGTAAGGCACCCCACTGAGTTTGCCATGTAGTAGAGCTCTTTATACCGGTAGGAACCACCTGGTTCCACCAGCCCACAGGGGATTATTGTGTCCGTCCGTCGTGCATCCAAAAATGGGAGGGGCTGGGTGGAGAGGGGAGGGTGGGCAGGGGCTGGGTGGGGAGGGTGAGGCTGGGTGGGGGGGTGGGGAGGGTGGGGCTGGGTGGGGAGGGGAGGGTGGGGAAGGGCTGGGTGGGGAGGGTGAGGCTGGGTGGGGGGTGGGGAGGGTGGGGCTGGGTGGGGAGGGGAGGGTGGGGAGGGGCTGGGTGGGGAGGGTGGGGCTGAGTGGGGAGGGTGAGGCTGGGTGGGGGGTGGGGAGGGTGGGGAGGGGTGGGGCTGGGTGGGGAGGGGCTGGTCACCCCGTGGTGCCCTTATAAAACTCAACGTTTAACCTACTCACGCCGGCTTGTGCCCGCCCTCACAGTCGGGCATATTTGCGGAATACACCACGCCGCCGTTGACCCTGCAGGCCATTGACCGAGCAACCCAACGTTCCTACCAGCTCCCTCCGCAGGAATGTGTTCAGAAGCGACCTGGGACCATCACAAATGATAGTCCAACGAAGTGGCCTCATCATCATCATCATCATCGTCGTCACCGTCATCATCATCATCGTCATCACGTGGACATTTATAGCAGCAGTCCACTTCAGCAATATTATCTCCTGATGAAGGTTGCTTGCGTTGCAACCGAAACGTTGCGATTTTTTCATTTCTCGATTTAAAGCTTTCGTGACTGCAGGGATTCATCTTCTTGGTTCTTTCGGAAAAGTCACGTAGAATGGAAATAATAAAATAATAAAAATAAAACATAATAAGATAATTCTCACGACGTTTCGGTCACAACGCAAGCAGCCGTCCCCTCCGGTGAAGAAAAGGTCTGTCGGCACGAAGCTTTAACATCATCATCATCGTCACCGTCAGACGCTGTCTTCCCGACAGACCTGTTCTTCACCTGAGGACGGCTGCTTGCGTTGTGGCCGAAACGTCGTGAGAATTATTTTATTATTTCCCTTCTACGTGACTTTACCGAAAGAACCAAGAAGTTGTTTCATTTCATTTCTAACCACGTGACTTTACCGAAAGCACCAGAGGGCAATCAGCCAAACACTCTCAACCGCGTGACATCGGTTCTCAACGTGGAGGGAAAGGACCGGATGACACGCAGAAAAATCCACGTTTACCACGGAGGTGAGTGGGTGGGTGGACAAGCTCCGAATAAACCCAGGTAAAGCCCCTAGTCCTGAAAAACCACCACGCACACACACAGACAAAGATACCCTGTGTAATCATTATAGGGGTTTTTTTTCCCCCGTTTTGGCAATCAAACAGGAGGTTTTCAGACGTTCAAACACCAAACGGATCCCTTTCGCAAGGCGTCAAAGTTTATTTGCACGTTTTGCAGAGGTCGCAAACGGGTTTTGATTCCTTACCCGTACCCGGCCGCACCAGGGTCGCAAATGGGTACCCGTAGCCGGCTGGGTACGGGCACCCGTTCCCTACCCGTACCTGTACCCTACCCGAAATGAGTGATAAACGGTGACTCACGGCCTACCCGTACCCGGCCGCACCAGGGTCACAAACGGCTACCCGTAACCGGCCGGGTACGGGTAGCCGGGTATCGGGTAGGGTACGGGTATCGGGTACCCGGTTGCGACCTCTGACGTTTTGCCACAAGTGCGGCTCGTGGCTAACGCAGACTTCATGCCTTGTAAAAGGCATCGATTTGGTGCTTGAACAACTTAACACCTCCTGTTTTATTGCCAGCAAGGGTCAAACGAAACCTTCTCAGTTATCATCATTGTGGATGCTGGCACAGAAAAGATCCCCCCGTGAATATGCCCTGCGTAGCTTTACACGGGCCGGCCGGGGTCAAGCGCCCGGCCGCCTTTGTCTCCCCAATGCCGATGTTACTTTTACACACCACACCAGGTACTCGTCCAAGGGCTGAGTCGACCGAGCCGAAGCATAGAAACAGGTTGTGGGTGCAAACCCATAGACTGACAGAGACCTATAGACTCGCATAGACACTCATATAGAGACCCATAGATACAGATACAGACCCATAGATACAGATACAGACCCATAGACTCACACAGAGACCCATAGACTGACAAAGAGACCCAAGGACTCGCATAGACACTCATATAGAGACCCATAGATACAGATACAGACCCATAGATACAGATACAGACCCATAGACTCACACAGAGACCCATACACTCACACAGAGACCCATAGACTCACAGAGTGACCCATGGACTCACACAGAGACCCATAGACTCACAGAGTGACCCATAGACTCACACAGAGACCCATAGTCTCGCATAGGGACTCAGAGACCTATAGATACAGATAAACAGCCATATACTCACATTGAGACTGATACAGAGCCCCATAGACTCGCAGAGACACACTGACCCATACTCGTATTCCCCACACTCACAGATATCCATATCCTCACAGACAAGACACCCATAGCCTCACAGAGTTCCAGACTCACGTCGAGATTCATAGATTGACATCGAGACCCATAGACTTGCAGAGAGACCCATGGACTCACACAGAGACCCATTGACTTGCAGAGAGACCAATGGGACTCATACAGAAACCCATAGACTTGCAGAGAGACCCATAGACTCACACAGCGACCCATAGACTCACACAGAGACCCATAGACTCACACAGAGACGCATAGACTCACACAGAGACCCATAGACTCACACAAAGACCCGTAGACTCACACAGAGACCCCTAGACTCACACAGAGACCCATAGACTCACACTGAGACCCATAGACTCACACTGAGACCCATAGACTCACACTGAGACCCATAGACTCACACAGAGACTATTTTCAATGAGAAAAAATGTGATGTGCATTTGTGTCATTCCTTCACATAAAGGCCTAGTCACAAAAGCAACGTTTGTGGGGAATAATTGCCATTTTCTATACTTATGAGACGTAAGCAATTAGAAAATAACACTTACTACCCAGGAACAAAAACCGTGTTACAAAGTGAATGGTCACCTTGACACTCACTCTTGCTACTGCCTCTTGACAAACGCGTGGTGGTGATGATGATGACACTCCTGACAATAATTAAGATTCTGATGATGACTAAACTTGCTGCTGATGATGATGATGAAATCACTCTCTAGCTTAGTCAAAGTCACGAATGAAACCTCGTCCGGGTAGCGATGCAACTGCAGATGATTATTATTCTAATTTGTGATTATCATTACGCTGATAATGATGATGATGACGCTTATGATGGCGATGCTGCTGCTGCTCCTGCTGCTTCTAATAGCACAATAAGTCCCATACCTGTCAACCCCTTATCAGTGCCCCTACCTAATTACAGACCCATTCAGACCTAAGTGGTCACCCCGTGCCACTTATACATCTCAACGTTCATCCTAAAAAGTCGACAACACAAGGGAGAAACATAAACAAATAGACACTCACCACTAGTACACTCACCACTAGTACACTCACCATTAGTACACTCACCATACAACTAGTACACTCACCACTAGTACACTCACCACTACACTCACCACTAGTACACTCACCACTAGTACACTCACCACTAGTACACTCACCACTAGTACACTCACCACTAGTACACTCACCACCACTACACTCATCACACAACTAGTACACTCACCACACGTACACTCACCACTAGTACACTCACCACACGTACACTCACCACTAGTACACTCACCACTAGTACACTCACCACTAGTACACTCACCACTAGCACACTCACCACTAGTACACTCACCAGTACACTCACCACTAGTACACTCACCACTAGTACACTCACCACTAGTACACTCACCACTAGTACACTCACCACTAGCACACTCACCACTACTACACTCACCACTAGTACACTCACTCACCACTAGTACACTCACCAGTACACTCAGCACTAGTACACTCACCACTACTACACTCACCACTACTACACTCACTCACCACTAGTACACTGACCAGTACACTCACCACTAGTACACTCACCACTAGCACACTCACCACTACTACACTCACTCACCACTAGTACACTTACCACTAGTACACTCACCACACCACTAGCACACTCACCACTAGCACACTCACCACTAGTACACTCACCACTACCACACTCACCACTACCACACTCACCACTACCACACTCACCACTATTCTGTACAAGAATGCCAGCTAAACGGTATAGTGTTGACAGCTTTGAGACACCAATGCCATCGCAAGGCTTGTGTGTGGTGTGTTCCACCGCGTCTCACAAATGCAATTGTGCTGCTGATCGTGATCCATGATTGTTACTGTGATTACAACGTTGAAGGTGATGCCGGCAACGATGCAATGGCCACACGTGGCCCATCACAAGCCACGCAATCGTATCGGACCACCTCTGTTGTTTTAAAGAACGAAGCAGGGAGGATTGCTCCACGAATCTGGCTGTAATTGACGGGCGAAAACGTCGGAACTCAGAAACATGTTGTGGCTTTGCTCTCCAAACACACCGGTTAGTGCTGTGCTAGTATACTACAACTATACACTACACTACTATACACTACACTACTATACACTACACTACTATACACTACACTACTACACACTACTACACTGATGATGATGTTACTGGTGATGATGATACTGATGATGATGTTAGTGATGATGATGATACTGATGATGATGTCACTCTGATGATGTTACTGATGATGATGATGATGTCACTCTGATGATGATGATGTTACTGATAATGATGATGGCTCTGATGATGATGATGATGATGGCTCTGATGATGTTGATGACGATGTCACTGATGATGATGATGATGTCACTCTGATGATGTTACTGATGATGATGTCACTCTGATGATGATGTTACTGATGATGATGGCTCTGATGATGATGATGATGGCTCTGATGATGATGTTGATGACGATGTCACTGATGATGATGTCATTCTGATGATGATGATGTTACCATGATGCAGATGTTACCTTGTCTCCCTTGACTCCAACACCTCCACCACCCTTGCCCTGCTCGTCCACCGCTTTGCCCACTCCACCACCACCTCCACCACTGGACCCAGCAGCAGAGTTTGCCTTCTCAGTCGCTTCCACCTTGATCAGCCTCTGCCTGGGACTCAGATACTTCACTTCGGCTGGCGGGGGGCCCTTGCCCCCCTCGATCCCACCACCACCAACACCACCTCCACCACCAACACCACCACCAACACCTCCACCACCACCACCACCATCATCATCTTGCTCTTCGCTGTCACACACAGCCTTGAGACGTTCCAGTGCCGAGGCTCCAACAGGAGGGTAGTAGGACTGCTGATGATGCTGATGCTGCTGCTGATGATGATGGTGGTGGTCTTGGACACAAGGGGAGGATGATGACGAGGATGACGATGACGACGCCGCTGCTGCTGCTGTTGATGATGATGGTGGTGGTGGTTGTGGTGGTGGTGGTGCTGAAGAGGAGGAGGTGTTGGTGGCGTTGTTTGATGTCGACAAATGTGGAGGTTGAGGTGGGAGGAGATTTGCCACGCTGCGCTCCGTGCTAAGTTCCACGCAGTGTTGCTGCTGCTGCTGCTGTTGTTGTTGTTGCTTCTGTTGTTGCTGTTGTTGTTGCTGCTGTTGTTGTTGTTGTTGAACCTGCGGTGTCTTTTTAATGCTGCCCAGGTTCACTCGGACGCTGCCACCACTAGAATCGCCCTGAAGATCAGACTGCTGCTGCTGCTGCTGCTGATGATGATTCTGCTGCTGCTGCTGATGGTGGTGTTGGTGGTGATCGGGTTTGGGTTGAGGACAGTCGCTTTTCCTGTTTCCCAGCACGAAGCCGAACCTCTCCCTGAACCACCTCGCCATCGTACACTCGCAGCACCCTGCGAGACAGAGCGTGGGGGTGGTGGTGAGGGTGGTGGTGGTGGTGGTGAGGGTGGTGGTAAGGGTGGTGGTGGTGGTGAGGGTGGTGGTGGTGAGGGTGGTGGTGAGGGTGGTGGTGAGGGTGGTGGTGAGCGTGGTGGTGAGGGTGGTGGTGAGGGTGGGGGTGGTGGTGGTGAGGGTGGTGGTGGTGGTGGTGAGGGTGGTGGTGAGGGTGGTGGTGGTGGTGGTGAGGGTGGTGGTGAGGGTGGTGGTGGTGGTGAGGGTGGTGGTGGTGGTGGTGAGGGTGGTGGTGAGGGTGGTGGTGAGCGTGGTGGTGAGGGTGGTGGTGAGGGTGGGGGTGGTGGTGGTGAGGGTGGTGGTGGTGAGCGTGGTGGTAAGGGTGGTGGTGGTGAGGGTGGTGGTGGTGGTGGTGAGGGTGGTGGTGAGGGTGGTGGTGAGGGTGGTGGTGAGGGTGGTGGTGGTGGTGGTGAGGGTGGTGGTGAGGGTGGTGGTGGTGGTGAGGGTGGTGGTGGTGAGGGTGGTGGTGAGGGTGGTGGTGAGGGTGGTGGTGAGCGTGGTGGTGAGGGTGGTGGTGAGGGTGGGGGGTAGGGTGGTGGTGAGGGTGGTGGTGGTGGTGGTGAGGGTGGTGGTGAGGGTGGTGGTGGTGGTGGTGAGGGTGGTGGTGAGGGTGGTGGTGGTGGTGAGGGTGGTGGTGGTGGTGGTGAGGGTGGTGGTGAGGGTGGTGGTGAGCGTGGTGGTGAGGGTGGTGGTGAGGGTGGTGGTGAGGGTGGTGGTGGTGAGGGTGGTGGTAAGGGTGGTGGTGGTGAGGGTGGTGGTGGTGGTGGTGAGGGTGGTGGTGAGGGTGGTGGTGAGGGTGGTGGTGAGGGTGGTGGTGGTGGTGGTGAGGGTGGTGGTGAGGGTGGGGGTGGTGGTGAGGGTGGTGGTGGTGGTGGTGAGGGTGGTGGTAAGGGTGGTGGTGGTGGTGAGGGTGGTGGTGGTGGTGGTGGGGGTGGTGGTGAGGGTGGTGGTGGTGAGGGTGGTGAGGGTGGTGGTGGTGAGGGTGGTGGTGGTGGGTGGTGGTGGTGAGGGTGGTGGTGGTGAGGGTGGTGGTGGTGGTGAGGGTGGTGGTGGTGGTGAGGGTGGTGGTGAGGGTGGTGGTGGCGAGGGTGGTGGTGAGGGTTGTGGTGGTGAGGGTGGTGGTGGTGAGGGTGGTGGTGGTGAGGGTGGTGGTGGTGAGGGTGGTGAGGGTGGTGGTGGTGAGGGTGGTGGTGGTGAGGGTGGTGGTGAGGGTGGTGGTGGTGAGGGTGGTGGTGGTGAGGTTGGTGATGGTGAGGGTGGTGGTGAGGATGGTGGTGAGGGTGGTGGTGGTGAGGGTGGTGGTGGTGAGGGTGGTGGTGGTGAGGGTTGTGGTGGTGAGGGTTGTGGTGAGGGTTGTGGTGAGGGTTGGTGGTGAGGGTTGTGGTAGTGAGGGTTGTGGTGAGGGTGGTGGTGGTGAGGGTTGTGGTGGTGGTGGTGAGGGTTGTGGTGGTGGTGAGGAGGGTTGTGGTGGTGGTGGTGAGGGTTGTGGTGGTGAGGGTTGTGGTGGTGAGGGTTGTGGTGGTGAGGGTTGTGGTGGTGGTGAGGGTGGTGGTGGTGAGGGTGGTGGTGGTGAGGGTTAGGGTGGTGGTGGTGGTGGTGAGGGTTATGGTGGTGAGGGTTGTGGTGGTGAGGGTTAGGGTGGTGAGGGTGGTGGTGAGGGTGGTGGTGGTGGTTGTGGTGGTGAGGGTTGTGGTGGTGAGGGTGGTGGTGAGGGTTGTGGTGAGGGTGGTGGTGGTGGTGAGGGTTGTGGTGGTGGTGGTGAGGGTGGTGGTGGTGAGGGTGGTGGTGGTGAGGGTGGTGGTGGTGGTGGTGAGGGTTATGGTGGTGAGGGTTGTGGTGGTGAGGGTTAGGGTGGTGAGGGTGGTGGTGAGGGTTATGGTGGTGAGGGTTGTGGTGGTGAGGGTGGTGGTGAGGGTTGTGGTGAGGGTGGTGGTGGTGAGGGTTGTGGTGGTGGTGGTGAGGGTTGTGGTGAAGGTGGTGGTGGTGAGGGTTGTGGTGGTGGTGGTGAGGGTTGTGGTGGTGCGAGTGGTGGTGAGGGTGGTGGTTGTGGTGGTGAGGGTTGTGGTGGTGAGGGCTGTGATGAGGGTTGTGGTGAGGGTTGTGGTGGTGAGGGCTGTGGTGGTGAGGGTGGTGGTGAGGGTGGTTGTGGTGGTGGTGGTTGTGGTGGTGGTGGTTGTGGTGGTGGTGAGGGTGGCGAGGCGCTACCGCTCAACGCTGTCTCCTGCTGCTGTCCCTCGTGTCACCTGCCGTCGACGTCTCCTGCGTCTCTCTCCCCACTCCTCTCTGCTGTGGTCGATGTCTCGCCCTTCTCTCTCTCTCTGTGTCTCTCGCTGTGTCTCTGTGTCTCTCTCTCTCTGTGTCTCTCGCTGTGTCTCTGCGTCTCTCTCCCCACTCCTCTCTGCTGCGGCAGCCGCCTCCAATCTCTGTGTGTCTCTCCCCACTCCGATCTGATGTGGTCGATGTCTCGCCCTTCTCTCGCTGTGTGTGTCTCTCTCTCTCTCTGTGTCTCTGTGTCTGTCTCTCTCTGTGTATGTCTCTCGCTGTGTGTCTCTCTCGCTGTGTCTCTGTGTGTCTCTGTGTGTCTCTCTCTCTCTCTGTGTCTCTGTGTCTGTCTCTCTCTGTGTATGTCTCTCGCTGTGTGTCTCTCTCGCTGTGTCTCTGTGTGTCTCTGTGTGTCTCTCTCTGTGTCTGTCTCTCTCCCCGCTCTCGCTTTTGTAGCAGCTGCCTCTCCCCGCCCTCTCTCCCCTCCTCTTCCTGTCTCTCTCAGATGCTCCCCCCCCCCCCTTGTCTCTCTCTCTATCTATCTCACAGCTGCCCTGTCTCTATGTCTGTCTCTGTGTCTGTGTGTGTGTCTCTGTGTGTCTGTCTCTCTGTGTCTCTGTGTGTCTGTGTCTCTCTCTGTCTCTGTGTGTCTCTCTGTGTCTCTGTGTGTGTCTCTCTCTATGTCTGTCTCTGTGTCTGTGTTTCTGTCTCTCTGTCTCTGTGTGTGTCTTTGTGTGTCTCTCTTTCTCTCTGTGTCTGTGTGTCTCTCTGTGTCTGTGTGTCTCTCTGTGTCTATGTGTCTCTCTGTGTCTGTGTGTCTCTCTGTGTCTGTATGTCTGTGTGTGTCTCTGTGTGTGTGTCTCTGTGTGTGTCTCTCTGTATCTGTGTCTCTGTGCCTCTCTGTCTGTCTGTGTGTCTCTGTGTGTGTCTCTCTGTCTGTCTCTGTGTGTCTCTCTATGTCTCTGTGTCTGTGTGTCTCTCTCTGTCTCTGTGCTTCTCTCTGTGTCTCTGTGTGTGTCTCTCTGTGTCTCTGTGTGTCTTTGCGTGTCTGTGTGCGTGTCTCTCTGTCTGTCTCTCTCTCTCTCTGTGTCTCTATCTCTTTCTCTCTGTCTCTGTGTCTCTCTGTGTGTCTGTCTCTGTGTGTGTCTCTCTATCTGTGTGTCTGTCTCTCTCTCTCTCCGTGTGTCTCTCTCTCTCTCCGTGTGTCTCTCTCTATCTCTGTGTGTCTCTCTGTCTCTGTGTGTGTCTCTCTGTCTGTGTGTCTCTGTCTCTCTCTGTGTCTCTTTCTGTCTCTGTGTGTGTCTCTCTGTCTGTGTGTCTCTGTCTCTCTCTCTGTGTGTGTCTCTCTGTGTCTGTGTCTCTCTGCGTCTCTCTCTCTGTGTGTCTCTGTGTGTCTCTCTGTCTCTCTCTCTCTCTGTCTGTGTGTCTGTGTGTGTGTCTCTCTCTGTGTGTCTCTCTGCGTGTCTCCCAGCCGCTGTCTCTCTCGGCTTCCCCTCCCCTTGTACCCGCGCGCTGCACGCCGGGAAATCAAACAACACGGAAAACCCGCCCCTACTGCGCATGCGCACACCGGGTGAGAGAATGGTGGGGGGGGGGGGCCCCAGCGATACAAACGCTTCCCATTGGTCAAGGTGAGCGCGAGACGCGACGCGTCAGCCAATCAGAGAGGCCGTACGATTGCACAATCTCCCCCCCTGCCCCCACCCCTCTCGTCACCCCCCCCCCGCCATCCCCCCGGCGGGGCACGTGACCGACAGGCACATTCCTGTATTTAAAGGGACAACGTGATTCTTTAAAGGGCGTGTCGATTCAACGATTCCTCGCCGGTGGATCGACTCCCTTAACGATCCATTCATTTATAGTTAACGGAATATAACCAGCAAATAAAATTCGTTCAATTTGTTTAGTACGTTGAGCATTGCGTGTGAATTGAATCACGGTGAGAACTAGAGTTTAACATCGAAAGCGAACGCACAGGAAAATGAATCTATTGTTTAAAAATCGCATCGAAGCTCCGGATCGATACACTTTAATCGAATCGTAGATGATGTGATGAATCGGCACATTCTCAAACGAATCTTCGCGATTTGGAACTTCGTTTAGATTCAGGAATCGACTCCCATTAGCCCTTGAATGGCTCTGTAATCGCACAGCGATTAATCGTTAACGTTCGATTCAGGCACAAACGATTCTACGCAGGTGTATTGAGTAGCGAGGGTGGTGATCGGCTTAATAGGATGGAGTGGTCAAGTCTTCATCCAGCAGTAGATAGGCCATGGCTGACGATTATTAATCGATACATCTCTGCAATTGACACCACCACTGCTCAATGAAAAAGCCTTTCCCAACGCCGTTGACAGTCACGGGGGATGATTGACCATACTTCACCACGCTGGTCAATGCGAGTTGGGCTAGGGGCGTTTCAGATGCCGCTGATGTGAGCCGGGGTTTGTAGTGCAGCGTGCACAACCACAGACAAAGGTCCCCCGTGTAGCCTGCAAGTGCTGTTAGCGAGCACCTATTAAGGCCGACACGTGGTGTCGTCAACAACGGACCGCACGGGCCACTCAAATCGTTCAAGGCTGAGTCGACCTAGGCGGAGGGCCAGGAGCCGTTCACATTCACAAAATCACTCCCCCACTGATTCATAACGCAGCGGTCACTAACCACTGCGCCACCGCTCCCCACACACACAACGACAACAACTACGTCACCGAGCCGACGTCACAAAGGCGCTTGTGCCAAGCTAGGTGTACCCACACAAAGGCAAAACAAAGAACCCCCGTGTGGCCTTTAATAGACTGTAGGGGCAAGTGCTGTTAAGCGAGCAGCACCTATGAAAGCGGGAACGGTACACGAGGGGGTGGGTGGCCAGCACCACGCTGGCCACCAGGTACTCATTTGAGGCTGAGCCGACCTAGGGGGAGGCCCAGGACCGGTTCCGAAAAATCGTCACCGGTGGTGTTGGCCCTGGGAATCGAACCCCGGGATCTCCGGGTTGACTGGGACACGTGCCGAGTCTCGCGTAGTGGATGCGTCACACAGGAGGGGGCGCCACGTGGGTTGGCACGTGTTGTCTGTGTGTGCGTCACTCTGAGCGTGGCCGGAAATCATCCCAGTGAACATGCCAACGTTGGGTCAACGTTGGCATGTTTACTGGGATGGGCTCAACGTTGGCCAACGTTGGCATGTTTACTGGGATGGGCCCAACGTTGGGTCAACGTTGGCATGTTTACTGGGATGGGCTCAACGTTGGGCCAACGTTGGCATGTTTACTGGGATGGGCTCAACGTTGGGCCAACGTTGGCATGTTTACTGGGATGGGCCCAACGTTAGCCCAACGTTGTTGGCACGTTTACTGGGATGGGCCAACGTTAGCCCAACGTTGGCATACTCGTTGGTGAGGACGGCTGCTTGCGTTGTGGCCGAAACGTCGTGAGAATTATTTTATTATGTTTTATTTTTATTATTTTATTATTTCCCTTCTACGTGACTTTACCGAATTGAACCAAGAAGATGAATCCCTGCAGTCACGAAAGCTTTAAATCGAGACCAGCGAGCCTAAATATCTTGTATACACATACTGTACGTGAAATAAGTTACCTGGAGTATGGAAGGCGAGGACATGAAATGAAGGGGTCTACAAACATCACATTGGTGACATACTGAGATAGTAACAGGCACGCGCTTATTGCCCGCGCTACATCCAGTTACTGAGGGGTTGCGCAATCAGAGGGGAGGCTGAGCTCGTCGCTGCCTCACCTCTCGTCTCTTCCTGTATTTGCAGCGGAGCTCCGCAAATTTGGCGATTTTGACTGTAATAAAATATATTTAAAAATACTTTTTTTTTAAACACGCTTTAATGAAATGTACTGTCCGAGCTGCCCCTCCCCCTGCCCCCTTCCCCCATCGCCCCTCCCCTCCTTCCACATCTCCCGCCCCTCGGCGTGGCTCCCCGTGGCTTGCCGTGACGTCAGGGACCACGTGGTGATTGACAGACAACGTGAGTTGAGCGTGGACAATTAGAGCCGTAAACGTGGACAATTAGAGCCGTAAACAAGATTGTTTAAAAGTAAATATTAAAAAATTTTCAATGATAGAATATAGTATTGTTATCAGTATGACACACCTATACCAAGTTTGCAGTCGATAGGACATTGGGAATAGGCTTGAAATTAAGTTACACGATTTTAACTTAAAACGTGTAAAATGTTTAACAAATGTTTTTTTTTATTTTTTACGATAGAATATAGTATTGTCATCAGCATGACATAGCTATTTCAAGCTTGCAGTCGATAGCACATTGGGAAGTGGGTAAAAATTGAGTTACAAGATTTTTATTTTCAGAATACAACAGACGAGGTGTAATAAAAATGATTGGAATCGTACAGAAATTACATTTCTAACACAGATCAGTGGAACAATCTTAATATTTATTCGATTTTATTATTTTTTGTTTGTTTACTTTTCGTAACAGCTCTTTTCATTGGAGTATGAAAGGTGAGGCTCTGCCTCCCAGCGCGACAAATGCCGTGATGCTTGCGGAGGCGTTTGGCGAGAGGATTTCTCGCCAAAAGTCTCGGGCGGCCCCTGGTGGTTCTAACTCTTTTGCGTTTCGTACGGGGGGATCCGACGATGCAATTTGACCTGACTTTGTGCGTTTGTTGAGGCCACTGTCGTGATCACGTGGGTGTCTGTGAACCCATGGCGGTTGCTCTACGTGGTTAAAGGCCCCTGGAGTGTGCGAGATCCACGCGGTTGGTTGGCTGAACTGCGGTGACGATATGTTGACTACCTCGCCTGGTACACAGGAGGTCGTGGGTTCGATCCTGACGCCTGCTGCTGTATATTTGGAGTTTGCGTCTCTCTCTCATCATCATCACGGTGGCTAGGAGATGTTAACTACCTCGCCTGGTACACAGGAGGTCTTGGGTTCGATTCTGACGCCTGCTGCTGTATATTTGGAGTTTGCGTGTCTATCTCATCATCATCACGGTGGCTAGGAGATGTTAACTACCTCGCCTGGTACACAGGAGGTCTTGGGTTCGATTCTGACGCCTGCTGCTGTATATTTGGAGTTTGCGTGTCTCTCTCATCATCATCACGGTGGCTAGGAGATGTTAACTACCTCGCCTGGTACACAGGAGGTCTTGGGTTCGATTCTGACGCCTGCTGCTGTATATTTGGAGTTTGCGTGTCTCTCTCATCATCATCACGGTGGCTAGGAGATGTTAACTACCTCGCCTGGTACACAGGAGGTCGTGGGTTCGATCCTGACGCCTGCTGGAAATTTGGAGTTTGCGTCTCTCTCTCATCATCATCACTGTGGCTAGGAGATGTTAACTACCTCGTCTGGTACACAGGAGGTCGTGGGTTCGATCCTGACGCCTGCTGTATATTTTGAGTTTGCGTCTCTCTCTCATCATCATCACGGTGGCTAGGAGATGTTAACTACCTCGCCTGGTAGACAGGAGGTCTTGGGTTCGATCCTGACGCCTGCTGTATATTTGGAGTTTGCGTCTCTCTCTCATCATCACCACGGTGGCTAGGAGATGTTAACTACCTCGCCTGGTAGACAAGAGGTCTTGGGTTCGATCCTGACGCCT